AAATTACATTATATATATATATAAAGTATATTTTCTGAATTTATATAGATATATGTATTTATATTTGGTCATATATATACATGATCAAATTTGAAAATGTATTTTTATTACCAATTTGTGCCAAATAATGGGCCATTTCAACTGATCAAAGAGCCCCCATGTACTGCAGACTATTTAAAAGATAATGATACTTTGTTAAGTTTATTTTGAATTTAAAAAATAAAAGTAAAATTAATATATATATATATATATATATATATATATATATATATATATATCACTGTCATGAATTTAAAAATTGATTATACTTTAATAATTATTTTTATTTTTCAATTGATAATATAACTATATACAAATTATTATACGTTATCTAACAAACAAATGCTTAAATCTCTAATAAAAGTAAGATTTCACTTTATTGAATATCTCAATTGGAGTATCTTTCATTTATTTACTTATATAATATTTCCTAATACTTTTAATTATAAAATCAATATTATTGTGATTATTATCTTTATAAGACATTCAAAGTTAAAAGCAATATTTTTTAAATTTTCTTTTAATTTTATGATACTCTAATTAATTTGAGTTTGAAATGTTTGATTAAACATGTCGAATTGAAGACAATCCTCTAGAGCCAATATTAAATCATGGTTTATTCAAATTGAACGGAATTAGACAAGTTAATAAATAAAAATAAGTAAATTTAATACCTTTTTTTAAAGCTAATTATATCAAAAAAATAAATTTAAAAAATATGCGCATGATAATTAATAAGAAATTAACATTTTTTTCAATTAATAGTAACAATAAATACATAATTTTTTACTGATTTTTATACTTAGGTTATTTTGTTTCTTTCCCAAGTGTGGTATGGGTTAGTAACTTAATACGGTGCTTCTCGCAATTACAGCGCCTTTCACCAGATTTAGTTGTCTTCTTTTATGTAGGTACGTATCTCCTCCATCTCTTTTTGTTCATCCTTTAATGCCGTAAAAATTGAATATTGTTAAATCATTTTCAAAATAAAAGACAGAGAAATATATTGAAGTGGTATTCAGACTTTGAGATGTTCGAAAGGATGAATTTTTCTAATTTAATTAATATTTTATTATAAATAAACTACACATGATTATCTTGATGTCAACTATGTTTTTATGAATATTGTATTTTGTATCTTTATAAGTATCCTTTATTTATGGGGTATATAATTGAGTTTGTTCGGATTTTTCAATTTATAAATTAAATTAAACTAATTAAATTTGAATTTTTTTCATATGTTTCAACCTTAGATTTTTTCAGGTTTGTTTTGTTTTTTCAATATCAAACAAAACTAATAAGCCTCAGATTTTTTGAATTTTTAGATTTTTCGATAAAATATTCATAAAAACATATAATTAACTTGTGCTTCAAATATTTTCTTAGTCCAATCAAAATATAAGTATCTTGTTTCTCAAGAAAATAACATAAATTATGAGATAAATGCTGACTCTAAAATATTAATGAAATTATATAAATTAAATATTACAAATTAATAAGTCATAATGAAAATGGTGAGTATCCAGTAGTACAAATATAAATTGATCAATATATTGACAGCTCAAATCACAATTCAAACATGTTTCATCAGATAAATACAAGTCTCATATTCTAATAGAGTATAACGATAATTTTTGTGAGGCGAATTTTTCGTATTTATTTGAATATTATTGTACTTTATGTCTGTGAAAGGACATAGTAATATGTTAAGTCATATTTACCTTGTAAACTATTTTTTAAAATGAATTTATGCTTTAAATCATTGATATGTGTCATTATATAATAACGATTAACAATATAAGTTATTCAAATATCGATATATTAAAGTAATATAATATAAATTATGAAATGATACATAAAAATTATCTAAATAAAGTTTAAAAGAACGAAAATAAAATAGCAACACTATCATAATAAAATTAAATTAGTACAACTTGTTCACTTCTAGGTTTTAGACCAAGCAAATTCACAATTTTCACCATCACTTCTTCTTCTTCTTCAATCTTCAAAGTAGTTCTCTTTAGACTCTCGGATTTTGTTCCTTCTCTTATTAAAATATTTGTTATTTTTAGCTGCATTTTGTGACATAAAGTTTATTTCTCTTTTTGCTTGTTATGTTTTGTTTGGTGGTGAAAATGATTAAATTAAACGAAACAGTTCAAGCTAAATATCTATTTATTGGACCGTAGTTAATACTAAGGTTGTAACAATATATTTGCTCACTTCTTGTTTGAAAAAGATTGCTCAAAGTGAATCTTGTTTCAAAACATTTGTCATGGTTTTATGTTTATTTCTTGAGAAAATGATCAAAATGGTTCCTAATGTATGAAAGTTACTCAATTTTGATATTTAATATGATCCATATAGTCTTTAATATATCATAATAGCTACTCAATTTGGTTATTGTCTTAAAAGTAACACATCAATCCGTTAAATTTAACTGATGGCCATAGGGGTGTAAAAAATGAACCCAAACCTAGGTAATCCGCTCAATTCGTCCATAATTTAAGGGTTGGGCTCAAGATAATTTGAGTTGGGTATAATCTCAACTAATTCAAGCTACATCCATTCGAAGAGAATTCTTAATTGAGCTCAATTCAATCTCTAATTTCAATCCGTTTTAATTTTTTTTATGAAGATATGTTCCTATATTGAAGGTTTGAATTACTATCTATTTAACATCTAAATTTAGGATTTATCTATCCATTTGTTAGTTTTTTAACCAAAAATTCTTAACCGGAAATTCAAATTGTGATTATAAAAGTTAACTATCAATATGTTAAATTATTGAGATTAATCGGTCAATTGCGCGAGTCAAGACCAATCTTGTTTTTAGCCCACTTGAGCCCAACCAATTTGAGCACAAAGTAAATTTGGGCGGGTCAAGACCCAATTTAATTTTTATTCAACCCATTTTAGTATTTTTAATTTCAACCCAACCCACCGATTTGACACCACTAGATGACCATTAAAATATAAAATAATCAAATTAAGCTCCCGTCTCCTTCATCAACTGAAAAGCTTAGCCTAATTTTTCCCTTTCTCTTTCTTCTCCCTTTTTAACGCTATTGGCACGCTGGGTACTCTCCACAATAGCGCACTGGCTACTCTCCACTTCCATCTCTCCTCCACCCCTCCCCTATTCCGTCTGTTCTAACCCAGTTAGGATTTCTTTAAAAAAGAAAAGAAAAGAAAATTGTGAAGTTAGAAAATTAGTTTATTTTCACATTATTTGAGTCATATTTTTGAGCTTTTAAAATTTGTCACAAGGAGTTTATATCAACCAAGCAAATTTCATGTTGAAGGGATTGTAAAAACGAATTCACAATTTATAGAAAGCAAGATGAACTTCGTCCTTAAACTTTATCAAAAATAGAATTCAATTATTTGAACCACATGTTTTAGATATAATATTCTTAAAAGTGATACCTATTCATTAAGGATATCATTTTCTCATTTAGTTTTTTATAAAGATTTCTTTGTGTAAAAAAATGAATGATAATCAATTTCTCCTATTTTGCAATTGTTGGGGGAAGAGAAGATGAGGAAGCTAGTTTAATTGAGGAAGCCACTTTCTTTAATGTATACTAGCTGGTCTACAAAAGCATGACGCATGACGCTTCTCCTTTTTTTAGTCCACTCTCCCTTAGAAAACGGAGCTGCTTGAAAGCAGATTTAGAAATTACATAGGTGAATGTAGAGATCACCGGTGTCCTACTCGAGACGAAGTACTTGTCGTCCCCAAACCAAAAGGGATGAGGGGGGCCGGGCGTATTCAATGATATAGTTATGTTGATGATATATATTGGATTTTATGTATTCGTAAATCAAGGGATGTAAAGCCAAATTTTAGAAAAAAAAAAATAATTTCTTTATATATATACACACATTACCTTCATAAATTCTAAAAGAAAATATTTTAATTAATTTAATAATTATTTTTTATTTTTCAATTGTATAACCTTTTTCTTAATACTTTGTTAGACAAAAATAACCATATATAAATTATTGTACTATAACAACACAAGTGTTTAAATCTCTCTGATTGATTATATTTTTGAAAGTTTTTGCAATAAAATTAGTTGTTACATAAACTCTCAAAATTATACTAAAATTAAAATTTCACTTCACTAAATTTGGGAAGTAGAGTACCATTTCTTTACTTATTTAACATTTCGTAATATTTTTAATCATAAAATTCATTATTATAGTGATTATTATCTTTAGAACACATTCAAAATTAGGACAAATATTTTTTTAAAAAATATTTAGATATTTAATAATCTAATTAGTTTAAGCTTGAAATGTTTCATAAAATATATCAAAGAATTAAACACAATCTTCTAAAGCCAATATTAAAAGATGTCTGATTCAAATTAAAGTAAACTAAATAACTTAAGGGACAAAAAGTAACTATAAATTTAATTTTCTATATATTTAATTATAATTATATCAATAATAGAATTTTTAAATAATAATTACTTCTATTCCATATTAAGTTATTTTTTGGGATGTTTCACACCCTTTTAAAAAAGTAAATTAAGGCATAAATTGAACATAATTTTTCATTTTATCCTATTAATTATTTTCAAATTTATGATTAAAATAGTTAAATATTAATTAATCACTAATTACAATACAAATTAATGAAGGATAAAATTAAAAAAATAATAATCCAAAAAACTAAATAATAAAATTAATTTAAAAAATAAAAAATATCTTAAAAATTAAATTAATATGAAATGACTAAAAATCAAATTAATATGAAATGACTACATAGTAAGAGATTCACATAATTTTTTTTTAATAATTAATAGTAACAATAAATATATACATACTCCATTTTTAAATATTCTATTTTGGGAATATTTTGTTTCTTCCAAAGTGTGTGGTATGGGTTAATAGGTGCTTTTCACAAGTACATCGCCTTCATCGGATCTGGTTTCTCTTTTATGTATGTATTTCTTCATCTTTTGTATTGCTCAGTGCTTTTTATTCATCGTTTAATCTTGCCGCTTTGTATGTTTTCGTATTTGAGCAAACTGAATTTGGGGGAGTTTTTGCTTCTTTATTTTTTGGGGCTTAAAGCTTTAGGGTTGAGCCGCCCTTGCTTTTTGTTGTGAATTTTCTTTGTTCCTCGAGGTTTTGAGCTTAACTGCAAATTGCTAGCCAGAAGTATAGTTCTGATAGAGAATTTTGGTCGGATTAAGTAAAACATATCAAACTCAAGTTTGGTAAGGAAAAATGACGTCAAACACTAGTCAACCACCCCATACCTACTTCATCTGAAGCCATCCCTGTTTATACTGATTTGTCAATGTTCTTTCCATATTTTCAAAAATATATATGCGTTCTTGTATGTTTCCCATGTGGTGGTGGGGGTTCATAGATATGATGGTATATTAATCTTACTTTGAGTATTGGTAGTCAAGTTACTGAATATTTTTGTTCCATAGGGACAAAAAAAAGGATTAAAGCAATTCAGCTTGTGGGTGAATATGATGAGACACATATTCACTCATAAGCTATTATTAGTAATATATAGTACCTAACAGAAATAAGTAAAGATTTTAATTGGGAAAAAGGGTAATTGTAGTGAGTAGAGTATGTTAATAGTGTAAAAGTATGTGGTGAAGTGCCAAAAATGATAGTTTAGGGGACTAATTCAGCAATTTTATGAAACAGCAGAGAAGCTTCAAATAAATAAATACAGGCGAGGTAGCCATCATCGAAGGAATCAGATGGCAGTAATGGAGGAATCAAACCCAAAGTCCACTTTATCCCCACCTAATTCCTACACTGCCGTTGTTCTTGGAGGTACTTTTGATCGTTTACACGAAGGTCACCGGCTTTTTCTTAAGGTTTTTCCGATACGATTTTCCCCTTAATAATCTCATTCATCAAAAAGGAACAATCTCTTTTACTAGTAAGTGATGTTTTTTTTAATTGTTCTGGTAGTCGGCTGCGGAATTGGCAAAGAATCGAATTGTAGTTGGTGTTTGCGATGGTCCAATGTTGATTAAGAAACAGGTAATTTTCATGCTTATACTCTCTGTTTGTTTAGTTTGTTGAAATTGGAACATGGGAACTTTAAATGTCTAGTACAACTTCTTTTACGGTATAGGGCAGGTTGGAGGCTACATAGACTTGAGAAAGCAAAACAGTGGGCAGAAGAGAATGAAAAATGGCATCTTTGATTTATTCTTTATTTTCCCCCTTTTGCAAATCTAACATGTATAGATATCGTAAATTTTTTTTAAAGAAAATTGGAGAGTGGTCTTATATTTGTGGTTCTGGAAAATTTCACAAATCCATTTGGAGTTGTGGATAGAGCATAGATTACTAGGGAGTGCTTTACCCCCATGTGGAACTTCCCGGCGCGAATATGGATCTAGTCGGGCTCCAACGTGGTACCGGACACCGGGTGGGAAACCAAAAAAAAAGAAGAATATAGATTACTTGGCTATTTGGGAATCTAAAGAAGGTTGGAGATTCTGCATTTCTAAAACATTTAACTTGGAATATGACTTAAATAGATAAGAGTATAGTCGTCTCATGTCCAGATGTCCATCTCTAGAGGTTTCTTCCACCTTTTTGGTTTATTGGATTTTCCGAATATTTAAATCTCATGGTCAGTTCAATGCATATTATGGATATACAAAATTTGATGTATTACAAGGGAAATCTCCATGAATAAAGAAAAAGGATTAGTCCTGATGACTTCTGGGTTCTAATAAATGATAATAATACTAAAAGTTGTAATAAGCTATTGAGGCAACTGTTGCACCTTCTCTTCTAGGGTTTCGCATGCTATGTCAGGATAAGGACATATATGTTCATCATGTGTAACTCACTATGCTCATTCTCATCGGCTCTGTTTTCTTGGTGCTTTTTTTTTTAAATTTCCCACAGTTAAGTGATGTAAATACACTCGATATTACTTCCACTGCGAATGCTGTATGTTTTTAGTTTATCACATTTTGATCTTGTAGTTCATTGTGTTAATCGAATATCGGTTGCATATCATGCCAAGTTTTATTTCTCTTTGGAATTTTGTAGTCCTTGAATTGTTTTCTTGTCGTTGGGAAACAAGTATGGTCTACACCTCGTTTAGTCTTTTGGTGAGCCTCATTTCAGTTTTGGGCATTCTTCTTATGTGTTTAGGCTTTTGCGAGTTATTTTGGGTATAGCAGGGGCCTTGTACCAGATTAAACTACTTATCAACTTGTAATACTTTTGAAGAAATATGAAAAAATGCTATTGGCTGCAAGACCAAGTTATCCTCTTCATACCATCTTCAATATTCATAACTGATATTGCTGAGAAGAATGTTATTTACACGTCTTTACAAGATACACTTAATAGAGCATCTCTGTGCTCTCACAGTTTGCTCGTGTCCTTTGGCCCAAGGTTCTGGTTGCATCATTAGGTTACTGTCAGGCATCAGCCAAACATTTCTTTCTACCTTATCTTTTATCTTAATAGGTATTGACACCCAATTTTGAACGACCTTTACCCTTTTTGAGAATGCTAATCGATTAAATACGTATTTTAAAATATATTTCAAGTTTTAAATTTTAGCTGATTTTGCTTTAAAATTATATATTTTAGTATGCATGCTTTATAGAAATTATTGTAAATATTATTAAAGTATTTTAAAAATTATTAGTAAAGCTCAAAATAATTATTTTATTCAAATGTTTTAAAATTTAAGTGATTTTAAAATGTTATAGTATATGTAATATTTAATTGAATAACATTTTCTTAAAATTTCCTCAATCATTTAAATTTTACTCTATCTTGTTCTAATTCTTTTCAATTCTAGCCTATTCAATTTCAATCATAGCCACTTATCCATTTCAATTCTAGCCGCTCCAAATTCAACCATTTCAATCAAACCAAAAACCCAAAAGAGTTGTTAAGTCATGCACCCAAAATCCGTTTCGACAAAAATGGAGCGCGACAGAATGACAACTTTGCCAGGAATATGACTAGGCTTTTACCATTGCATGTCTCATTTGATTTATGTGAGGTTTACTTTATTCGGTTATTTCGTTGTTATTTGTTTTCCTTATTTATTTGTTTGCTTATTTATTTTGTATTTCCCATGTTCCACCCATTTTCCTTATTTGTTTATTTTCATGTTTCATCCTTATCATTCTTCCCTTATTTGAGTACTTTCATGTATAATCTCATATCTCTTTCCTTTTTTGTTGGATTTCTTATATGCTTATTTTTGTTTATTTATTTATTTACCGCTTTCCTTAAAACTATCTATATGTTACTCCTTCCCATCTACGTGCTACATTTTTACTACTTCGATAAACTTCTACTCCGCTTATACTTAATCCAATTTGGATCCTCTTACTCTTAAAAAAAATTATCGTGATGTTGTGCATTTGCTTTGCACCTCTCACAACTACTTCAATTATCTTGAAAAAATAACCATTATAGAGATTCGGCATATGCGTGGACTTGCTTTACACCTCTCACAACTACTCCAATTCTCTTCAAATACCCATTATAGAGATTCGACATATGCGTGGACTGAACGGATAATATTACTATCGGAAAACCACGAGCCTTCTCACATAAAATTTCTTTCAAGTCCCTGTCAAGCCAACTCTTAGAAATCTTACTTAGGTCAAGCGGTAGTAGTTCCCTAGTTGGTGTTGGCACACGTAGGCCCGACAGTAGAGACCTTAGGTGGTTTGACCCTTGATGTCAATCCGCATGATTAGTAGCCACCTTATTGTCTAAAGGACCCGAACACCCTTTAGACATATTGCATAATTATGTGTCAATGTGATCACGATAATTAAATTAAGCCAAATTTTGCCAAAATGGAGTTCATAATTTGTTTGTTGTTTTGTTTGCGGAGTCATGACCTTCCCACACTGTTAACCTCAAATGATTGTAGAGGTGAACTACAAGCTAAGGAGTTCGTGGATCGATATTAAGAGAGACCGCGAAAGATAGATTCGTCAGTTGTTGGGTGCATGACCTAACAACTCTTTTGGATTTTTGGTTTGATTGAAATGGTTGAATTTGGAGCGGCAATTGAAATAACAAATGGATAGGTGGAGTCTCCCTTTTATTTGTTCTATAATTGTAACTGTTAGGGTAGATTATTAATAAAAAATAAATTTGTTTCACCTGTGTATTTATGTATGATTCTGTCTTCTCGCTTATCTCCTTAATTGTTTACTGCCTGATATTAGTTTGTTGTTATACTACCTAGCAAGCATGTTTAAATTAAATAATCAATAAACGAAGTGACATTAATTGCTACTTATAACCCCACATAAATAGCATACGGCCAGAACCCTTCATTTGTGGACCTCGAAGGATGACTAACACCTTTCCCCTCGAGGTAACTTGAACCTTTACCCGATCTCTGGTTTGTTGACCTCTAATTAGATTAGATAGGTATCCTAACACGCCTTAATTCATTAGGTGGCAACTCTCAATCAAACCAAAAGAGTTGTAAAGTGGTGCACCTAGAATCCGTTTTCGAGAAAAAATGGGACGCGACAATAGGATTTGCAAATCTTTTTATCAAACACTAAATAGTTTATTGTATCCTTGGAAGTGGTGTAAATAAATTTAAAATTTCTAGGCCTTTTAAAGCTTGTTCATAATCATTTCTCTGGACATCTGATGAGCCAAGGCGTTAAATCCTGTACTTGATTTTTCCAATAAGGACGGTTTTTGAGTTTGAAGTACTATATTCTCTTATGTTTTCAGATGAGTCCAGTCCTCCTACTCTATCAATGTTGAGCTTCGATTTTTAACTCCATTTGTGACTTTTTGTTCTCTTCCTTCTATCTTATCCTTTTATGCAGTGCTTACGTATTTGTCTTCCTTTGGCAGTATGCTGATCTGATAGAGCCAATTGAGCTGAGAATGGAACATGTTGAAGATTACATCAAGGTACTTTGAAGCTCAAACTTTTATGTTCATGTATTCTTCTATCAGCTGGTTTGGCAAGTATAATTTTTGATCTTGAATGTCATAGGAAGAGCCTTCTATACTGGTCCAGCTGAGATGGTGGGTTTGTATGGAATATATCTAATCTTTTTCAGTTTCAATGTGAATCTTGCCTAGAGCAACAAATGTTTTTTCTTTCTAAAAGGTTTTGGTTTAGAAAAGTATGCAGTAGCTGATGCTTTTACTGTCAGTAGCATAAGCAAATTAGTGCACCATCAAACCCACATCACATCATCCAGCATGCAGAACACTTTTCCTACTTGCACTGTGATGACAATGACATGTTTCTTGCTGCAAACCGTACATCCAGTCTATAAAACCTGAGCTGATAGTGGAAGTAGAACCAATTGTGGATCCCTATGGTCCGTCAATTGTCGATGAGAATTTGGAGGCCATTGTTGTCAGGTGCGTAAAGAAATCCTTACATAGCTTCTACTGATTTAGATCTCTTTTTCCTTTTTCCCTCTAAGGTTTTAGTCTTTAAGACATCATTCTCTTATACACAGAGGCTAGTATGATGGATTGTTGACAGAATTTTACCTAGGCACAAGTTCTTTCCACAAATTATTGATTTATGTGAATTGCTTTAGAGTTTCCTTGCAGCAATATGAATTTTAAGTTTTGAAATCTTGAATCTTAAGAGCTAAGCTCTAGCAGTACTCATTTTGTCATTACCAAATTTAGTGAAGCATATTTTGACGGTAATAGCAAGTTGTAATTTCTCAAAAATACTTCAGTGTTTTGAAATGGCTAGTGTATTACTTTAGTGGTAGCTTAAGGTTGTTAATTGAAGTTTTTGTGTGATAGCAAGGAGACGTTGCCTGGTGGACTGTCTGTTAATAGGAGGAGGGCTGAAAAGGGACTCTCGCAGCTAAAGGTCCGACTCATGCCTCCAAAAAAAGTGTTCTCTGGGCTAATGTATTCGGCTTTATATCATTTATATGTCAACTATGAAATTGCATGTTGAAAATGTTGTGCAGATCGAAGTTGTAGATCTAGTCTCTGAAGAATCAAGTGGAGACAAACTGAGTTCTACTGCTTTGAGAAAACTTGAAGCTGAGAAGCTGCTCAGGGACCACAATTCCGGAAGTCAGAGTTAAAACTTTTTCTTGTCTATACGTTCAAAGGAGTTTCACTTTGTTTTTTTTTCTTTTCAATTTGCTTTGTTAGGATTAACAAGGACACTCTGTAGCCATCATAGATGTGAAATTGTCTTGTAAAACAATAATCTCCTCAGAATCGTGCTGGAGTTGTTTTCACAGTTACTTGTATATCTATAAAATGTAGCCTTGATTTCTTTCCACTCTTTTTTCTGCTAAAAAAAAATCCTAATGCCTAATTCTTATACTGAACGAGAAAATATTTCATTGATCATTATATTAAGTAATGTGTATCATGTTAGAAATCTGAACATTGTAGTTTCTTTTCCATCTATGCTTTTAGATGTTTGTTGCATCGAATATTACAGTAAGACTATTAAGTTTCCAGAAGACGATAAAAAGCAATTTAACTTGGTAATAAAATTAGCATTGTGGAAGATCCTTTGGTGGAGGGAGAACATTGTGATGTGATCCTGGACCATCTTCCACCACAAATGCTGTTTTAAGTCCCCAGCCAGTGTGCAACTCCAAATGACAGTGGCAAAACCAAACCCCTTCATAGAAAAAAAGAAGTTTCAACTACATGTCAGAAGGCATTATGAAAGTCGAATCAACCTTAAACTTGGTAGAAAACTAGATACCTGGATTATCAGCTCTGAACCGGATAGCAGTCCAACCACCAGTAGGAACACCAACTGTATTTCTTTCAGGAGGATCGATTAAGTTGTATTTTGCAGGATCTTTCTTGGGGTCAAAGTTTCCAATTCCAGTTCCAACGACAAAGAAGTTGTAACCATGGAGATGGAAAGGATGTGATTCCACTGTCAGCAAGTTGGTGTCTTGGATTACTAACTCTACTGTAGAATTGAAGGCAATTTTACCAAGTCTTGTGCCTTGAGTTGTCCTGAGGTTTGCTGTAAGAGGAGCCCCTGTGTAATTGAAAGGAGTAGGAGGTTTGTCGGGGAAATCTGTAGTATACACACCCTTAATGTTGAAGTAATGAGCTTGAAGAAGTGCAGTTTTTGGCATGACAAACGATATGTTGTTAAGAGAAGCTGAGAACCGAGTTCCATTGATACAAGTGGGACAAGCATTGATTCCCAGACCGATGGTGTAGAAGAGGTTTCGATCAACTTTTAGTGGAACATTTGCTGGATATTTTTGTGAATTTAGGCTCCTGAGCTTCTTGTCATAGCTCAATGCAAATTCTGTGTCATTAGGAGCAGGCAAGTTAGGAAGTTTAGGGAGAACAGTTTCTGGGATGCCCTTGTACTGGAATATAGCAGTCGCAGTCTTGTTGTCTACTGGGACCGGAGCGTCCATGAAAGGCCTGGCAGCCATGAAGTATCTTCCAGGGACTTGGTTTGCGCGGACCAAAACATTTGTTGTCTGTCCTGGTGCTATTAGAATGGCTTCTGTGGAAAATGGTTTTGTGTAAACTGCATCAATTTCCACCACTGTTAAAGTATGATTTGCAATGGTGAAAAAGAGTTCATCATTGAGTGCAGCATTGACAATTCTCAACAGGTAAGTCTTCCCTTTTTCTACTTCCATGGCAAAGGTATCTGCCAAAGAATTTTGAAACTTAACAGTCAGTTGCTGATGCATCGTGCTTATAGTATGATATCAAATTGATAAGCTGAAGCAATATCGATCTCTTACATTTTTCGGAACATGGAAACAGTGGGCCTGGCTTTCCGTTGATTGTATGCGCATCAGACATATTAGGAGGTATACCTAGTGCATTACCTTGGTTCTCCACTTGTTCAACATCCGCATTCCACCATTCTCCTGCATCATAAGGAACAGTAATATTACCATCTCGATTCATGCTTTGGCATAGGAAATCTTCAGAACAAAGTACATTCCAAGGTTTGATATTCTATTTACGAGTACTGAAAACTGACCTAGTACAATAACTTCTTCCCTATCAGGTTGAGGGAAAGGAAAGGGGGTTCCTTGCGATGGAAGTATCACAATGGCGCCATATACAGTTGCCCTTAGCCAAAGAATATGCGCATGCCACCACAAGGTACCTCTTTGTCCTGTTACATTGAAGTCATAGACATAGCTATTTCCCGTCTTGATAGGGCATTGAGTTATATAAGCCGGTCCATCAGCCCAACCATTACGATATTGTTTCAATCCATGCCTGCAACAGTTAACATGTATATACATTTGCTTGAGAACCTGAAATTAGACAGATTTTGAAGAGTTTTAACTTCTCACCAGTGGATTGACATGTTATATTGAGCATGGTTAGTAACATTGATTTGAACTCGATCTCCTTCTCTAGCGTAAATTGTAGGCCCTGGAAATCTCCCATTAACTGTAACCATTGGCTTTGCATGGCACAATCTGCTCACATTTGCCACTTGAATCTGCAAAACACAAAAAAGTTGTACATGATGAATAAAGCCTGCTGAGACAAACTACATTAGCTATGAATGAAGGAAAACAGGAACTAGCTAGGCACTAACGTCGAATTGGTATTTCTTTATGGCAGCCTCAGCAGGTTGACAACTACACCAAAGAAATCCATAGACAAGGAAGACTAAAAGTTTAACGAAGATTGTCTGGTTAGCCGCCATTGAGTTGAAAATGGACAAGACATTGATGGAAGTATGGCCTATTTATAGAGTGAAAGTTTATGTTCAGTTTCTGTTGAAGGCAGGGTTGGTTGTAAGTTGTAACATGGATTTGGTAGAAAAAGGATTTCAAAGGGCAAAACTTGTAAGCAAAATACTGATACTGAAAGAGACATTTAATAAGACCAACCAAATTAATCCACCATTTGAGGTAAAGAAGTAATGTTTAATAGTTGGCTTGTATGGTCTTATTGTCAAGAGATGCATATTAACATTAGCATGTAAAGAGAACAAAGCCTTTCGAAGGAACACTTGTCACAAGTAATTTTCGCTACCGTTCTCACTAAACCAACTTAAATCTGAACTAGATAACAATCTTTTTATAACCTTTGGACTTAAGCATGATATTCCGTTAAGGAGTCGTTTGGTTCATGTATTATGTTTTATGCGATAAATAATAGCATGAGATCATACCGTATATTAAATACCATTTTTCTTTTTTTATGAAACTTACGTAAATATACCATAATTAAAAAATATTTATAGCAATAACATTCTTTTTTCACTTGATCGCTTTTAATTCAATTATAATACAAGTTTAATACATATTATAAAGAAAAAATTATTATTCACACATAAATTATGATATATGGATTATGCATTTATCACAAATTTTAATACACTTATAATACAATGTGTCGAATTCTTACCAAACAAACATAATATATTTAAAAAAAAAAATAGTTACAATACATATATATTGCATACATCATTCACATTTGATACATATTTCAGATTTAACATATTATTATTATATAACGCTATAAATAGTAATAAATAAAAAGTATCGCTAAAATGAGTTATTATTTATTAAAAGGTTTTTATTCAAGTAATTTTTCCTTTTTTTTCTTATACGAACTAACCAATCATCTATATTTTATGTTGAGATTATTTTTTACTAATAAGGTCAATAAACCACACTTAAGTGTACACCAAGTTATGTAAGAGATGGATTTACTTGTAAGATTTAGTTGTTTTTCTCCTCTTTCCTAGTTTTTTTTTGGCTTAGAGAAGCCTTAGATTTCACTTATTAATATTTATTTGTTAAGGTATTCCTTTCAATGAACAACCGTACACACAAGGAGGGAATACTAATTTATTAAGCTATAGTTATATAAACATTACAAATTTCACGTCATTAAAGTTATTTTCAACTATCTTATCCTCCATCAAATCGTATTAATTTACTATTATCGAGTGATAAAAAACAAGTTGATGAGATTAAAATAGTTTTTACTTTTGGTATTTAACTATTAACTATAAGAAAGAGGGAGGACACAATTGATAAAATTATTTTGGTTTAATAATTTTTTTCTTAGAAAAAAAAACTATATATTTTAAACCACTCATGTTCCTTTCTAAAGAAAGAAAAGTATAGAGTCTTCAACACAATAATTTCGCAGTTTTACTGGATATTGGTTTTTAAATTTATTATTTCGCTAGTCAATTTTTAAGATATTGGTTGATTTGATATTGGATTAGCACTTGTGTGACGGCTAGCAGATGATGTTTCGGTTAACCTCTATCTTTTTTTCTTTCATGAACACACCTTAAAAAATGATTTCTTTTTCCTATTTTAAATGCAATTAAATAAAATTCTTCTATATCACAAAAAATTAATAGTAATGTAATAGTTAACAACAGAAAAGTAAATAGATTTTTAAGTTTTTGGCTTTACGACCTTAGGACTACAAGTATATAATAATATATTATGGAAAAATATGAAATGGTGCTAATATACCTAAGTTAAAAGTGTAAGTATAGTAATTTTTAATGGGTTGATGGTTTGTCCAATAAGGAAATTGAATAATCCTACCCCACACTAATAAGCCGTTAATTATAAAATTCGTCACTCATTTATTTGATAATTCAGTATCAATAAATCAATTTTAGATTTATGATTAACTTATCGATAGCAGTTCGATTTTAAACGTCCACTTGGATAACCATTCTTTATTGTAGTTTTTCATTTATTTCTTTGACCCAAAAAAGAAGAAAATAATAATATGGTGGGGGGGGGGGGGTAATTTTAATGCGTAGAGATGAATTTTGTTTGAACTCAAATTTTATGGATCCATTTATAACAACCAAACAAATGATAATATTTTTATTCTATTTTTTTTATGATACTTTATTCTTTTAATCGGTCTAAAAAAATGACATATTACTTAATTTTATAATAATTTAACCTTAAAATATAATTTTATCCTGAATGAACTAATTTGTAATGATACAAATATTTATAATTTATTTAAATCCACAAATTTCAAAGACCAATCTTTCGTTCTTAAAACTCTATGTAAAGTCAAATTATATAAATACTCGATTTCTGGGCCTTTTAAACCACTGCATTTTCAACATCCTTATTTATATGAAAAAAGTTTAAATAAAACAGAGAAAATGATTAAATGCCTCCTTAATCTATTATCAAATTTTCAACATATTTATCCTTCAAGGAGGTCCTATTACCCTCCAATACATTTTTGAAATAAAATATATAGTCTTTTAAAAGGTCACACTCAGATTTGTGTTACAAAGTGAATGTACTCGCTTAA